CGAAAACTTGAAAAGTGTAAAGCTTCAATTCTTGCCTCCAAATACTACGTCTGAAATTCAACCTCTAGACCAAGGAGTTATACGCTGCTTTAAATTAGAATACCGACGTTTTGTTTTGCGAAGACTCCTTTCTATTATAGATTGCGATAAAAATTCATCACAAATCATTCAATCTATAACAGTATTAGATGCCATTCGGTGGATTAGACACGCCTGGGAAAATGTAAAAGGACAGACAATTGTAAATTGCTTTAAAAAATGCGAGCTAAGCAATACAGCTTTAGAGGCCACTATCGATGCAGCTGATTTAGAAAATGAAGTGGTTGAACTTTCAAAAGCTGCTGCAATTCAATATGACCCAAATTCAGATAAATATGAAAATGGGCTAGAATGTTACGATGATTTATCGGAAGATTGAGAGAAAAGATTTATAGATGATTTAGATACAGGTAAAACATTAATATTTATTGTTTTAAGTTTTGAAAAAAGATTCAGATAATGAGAATGAGTCCCCCGTGCCATATTTATCAAACCAAGAAACGCTAATAGAAGTAAGTAAAAAGATAACCCAATCCAAGGCATTAATAAATGATGCGAATTTAACTAATTTGTTTTATAGAGTTAAGGAATCATTAGAAACTAAAATTGTTTGCGAAAAAATTGTAAAAAGTAAACAAACTTCAATTGAAAATTTTTTTAAACATGTATAAAAACTTAAAATATTAATAAACAGTTCTTTTCTACATAAATTTTGATTTCCTCATTTTATTTTTTGGTCACCCCCATTTAAGGGCCAACCCCATAAGGGCCAATTTTCAATGAAACGACAGGCGGCCCTTACCGAGAGGTTTCACTATACTATCACCAAAAATTAATTAAACATCGTTGGCGTCAATATCTGTATATCCGTCAATATTCGAAACCGAATGAGAACATTTTCTCCATTTACTTTGCTTCTAAGTACATATTTTAATTTTATTTCAAGCATCGTTGATTTTAAATTTCTGAATTTCACGAAAATACTTATCAAAAGTGTAGCTATAAGCAAATGAAACACATCGTTTCAGTTAACTTTAGAAATACCAATTTGGTAACGTAGTCGTCATGTACCACAACATTCTTATGGATCATTGAGCTTAAGTTAAATCATGAATTAAAAAATAATTAAATATTTAAAAGCATTTTACGAACTTCCTTTTCATGAGTTTTAATCTGGCAACAAACTTTAAAATATCTGAAAAAATAGAAAAATAAAAATTTTATGGGAATATTTGAAATGAAAGCTAATGCTGAACTTACGAGTAAAAAAATTTCAAATGTTTCCCCCGATCTATCAAATTAAAATTTTTGTACGATTAAAAATTTTTGTTTCACCTGCTGTCTGAACCATAGCACATACAGATGGAAGTTATATGAGGGGCACCCTAACACATGCACAAACTCTTCATATTCATTAATATATTTAATCCACTAAATATAATATACTATATAATATAACTCTAACCTTAGAAAAGTTTTCGTTCCCTTATGATTTTTGTAATAAATTGGCAACCACACACACATGCATTGGAGAAATATTTTTGTTAAATGTTTTTGAGTAATACTGAAACTATTTCGAAGAGCACTATAACTTCTTCTTAGTTTTATTTCTAAGTGTCTGATAAATCATTTGCATAAATATAATAACATACTATAGTCAAGTTGCTGTTGCATCTCTGTAAGTTATTTCTAAAGTAAATATTGCAATCCTACTAAATCTATGAAATTGTCATGTCTCACTTCCTTTTCATTCAAAAAAAAAATTCTTCAAAATCATGCAAATATTTCATACAAAAGGATATATTCAAAAAAATATATTCAACCTAATTTCAATACGTGACTATCTTCAATCTCACATGGGAAAAGTCTATATAAACACAGCATATTTGCATGTGAGGTGGAGAAAATAGAATCTTGTCGCTCCAAGTTGTATCGACAATAAAAAAAAAATCGTTTGCATCAGCATATGAGATGGATCAGGACAAAAAATATGCCTTTCGATGATGGAACAAAAAAATCGTCTGCCATTCAAGAAATTTTTCACTGTGACCGTTTTCATATCTTAATGCTGTTTTATTCCCTACGGGAAGTTGGAAATCATATACGGAGAAGGGAACGAATCATTTGAGGCAGTGGTTTTTCAAAATATGTTGCGATGCGGCGCTTTATCTTTCAATTCTTTTGGAAAAAAATGATGGAGAAAAGTTGGCATATGAATCGGTTATAATAGTTTTACTTTTTTAAAAAAAACTCTACATTACCTATATTTTTATTTTAAAAATCTATCACTTCCGAAACATTTTTCATATTATTATTAAATTATGCTTGAAATAGACACTAAGGGCATCATACACATGCATTTAATTGCTCGCAATTTTGCTTTTTTATAATATACTTTTTTATTAAAAAAAAAAGAAAACGATGTGTTTTAATTATATTTAGAAACGCTTCACTCGTAAGGGTGCAGTTATAATCAATCGGAAATATCCAATTCCGACAGTTCCAAATCTGATTGTCCATTTTTAACAAATCCAATTCAATACTACAGTTCTTAAAGTAAAGTTCTGTTTTTAACCTGAATAATTATTGGTTTGCCAGAACCCCCAATGAACAGACAAAGCATTTAATTATAATAAGGATTTTGATGTAAATAATAATTAGACGGATTAAACAACATTAAACAACAAATTTAATTAAACGAAATAAGTACAAAAGTAACGTCTCAGACACGATATTTCTACGCCATAACAACCTTGGCCACCCCTAAAAGTAGAAGTGAACAGTTCCTGTACCTTTTTTCCCTATCAGGGGAAAAGTTTAATCATTCTCCCTTTCCATTTGGATTTTCCCTTTATGCTTTTGCTCTGAATCTCACTAACAGCAATTACATTTTTCACTTTATTTTATTTTTTAAATGCATTTCTTATACAACAACTATCTTAACCAACTCATTCAGTTCAAATATTTCTTGCCGGCTATTTTCATTTTCGACTTCCGTCATAGTTAAAACTTTACTATTTCAATATTGTATCAATGAATAAAAAGACCATCACGCACAAACATTAAAAACCTGATTTCCGCTTTTTCTTCTTCACTGTTTTCAAAAATTCCAAGCATTATTTATTTCAATAATACAGAAAAATGCTATATGTAGTTAATACAAATATAATAACAAAAATTACTAGTTTCAGAATATAATTTTTTCTCTGTTGAAATATCGATTCTATTTAATGAAAAATGTCCGATTTCGACATTTCCAATTCTGAATGTCCACTTTTAATAATTTTTATTTTGAACATCCTTGATTACAGTTTTTGATTTTTTCTGAGAAACTGCTGTTCTTTATTTTTTTATTACTAAAATTAAGAACTCTACGAACAGCGCTTATACTTTTTTGCTAAATATCATTTGCCAGTACTTTCAATTTAAGAATTACGTATGAGCTGTTTTTACGAACAAGTGAAAAGGGGAATTCTTAAGCAGCCCACTACAAAAAAAATCAGTTTACTTCCTCATAACTACGCTCGCTAAAGCACTTATATTAGCAAGATAATACTTTAACTTCAATCCCTACATGAGAAATAAAGATTCCCACTCCTTCAAATTCAAACAACTTACTTAAAAAAAATAGAAAATAAAATTGATTAGCATTTTGAAGCACATAACTTCAATATAAATTAAATACATATTTTTGATATCCGAAGAAAATAATTTTCCCACCTTGAATTTTAGTTCAACAAACTTAAATTAATATTTATAAAGCATTTGTAGGTTTAAAATAATTATACAATATACATTAAAAACGCAGAAACTATCTTATATTTAGTTGCAAGACTGAATTTAAAAGTCAAGTAAATATAGAAAACATTTTATCATGGATAATTTTATGACTCTTATCAAACATTAAGCAAAAATATCTTTCATCAGACATCTGAACTAAATAAATATTAAGGTTCTAGCACATTGATTTCTCAATTTCATTCAACTAATTTAAATTAATATTGAAGCATTTGTAAGCGCAAAATAATGATACAATTTACATTAAAAAACGTAGAAACTGTAATGTTGTTGGTTACATTAGGCTTAAGTTAAATGTCGCGTAAAGATGAAAAACATTTTATCATGGACAATTTTATGATTCATATCATTCATCAAACATAAACATATTTAATCAGACATCAGAACTAAATAAATATTAAGGTGCTAGCAAATTTATTTCTCAATTTCATTCAACTAATTTAAATTAATATTGAGTCATTTTTAAGTTCAAAATAATGATACAATTTACATAAAAAACGCAGAAACTATAATGGTTAGATTAGGCTTAAGTTAAATGTCGCGTAAAGATGGGAAACATTTTATCATGGATAATTATTCGATTCATATCATTCATCAAATATAAATATATTTAATCAGACATCAGAGCTAAATAAATATTAAGGTGCTAGCAAATTTATTTCTCAATTTCATTCAACTAATTTAAATTAATATTGAGGCATTTGTAAGTTCAAAATAAGGATACAATTTACATTAAAAAAAGCAGAAACTATAATGGTTACATTAGGCTTAAGTTAAATGTCGCGTAAAGATGGAAAGCATTTTATCAAGGACAATTTTATGATTCATATCATTCATCAAACATAAATATATTTAATCAGACATCAGAACTAAATAAATATTAAGGTGCTAGCACATTTATTTCCCACGAAATATACTCTACCACACCCACAAGGAATTCCCTTTTACCCCATACACTTTTCCTAAATAATTGAATCATAGTGATTCTTTCACTTTGTTTTCATTTTGACAGAACTGGAAAAGGGAAGACACTCCCAAAATGAAGGATTAGAACACGGGCGAGACTGTCTTATCGTCGGAAAGTCCCTAGGGCTGATTTTAACAGAAGAAAACTTATGCTACAAAGGGCAGGGAAAAGGGAAAAATCACACGAACGCACTACAGTTCTGAGATATTGGATTCATTAAATTTTCTATGAGAAACGGCGAGAGGCGAAGTTTGTTTGGAATTGGTTTATCTCTTAGAAGTGAGTTTATAGAGATGCGTGTTTAGGGTTTGCCAAGCCACAAAAGCCTCGGCAATTTAATTTGTCTCTTTTCTTTCTCAGTCCCAATCGTTAGGGGGGAACTTCGGTTAATTATTTTCATTGGATGGGAAATGTCAACTTTGATTGTTGTTCTGATTAATTTAATGAATATTTAGTCTTGATTTAAGGTGTTAAATTGAGCGTTCGTCGTTAATCGCGTTTAATGCAATTATGGGGACGGATTGCGCTTTGTATGTCAATATTTTTAATTACGTAAATGATTGTTGAAAATGATTTGATAAAACTGCTTTTGAAATATTTATCACAAATCTGTC